GCCAATTTGGGTGCCAGCCGCCGCGGTGGCCTCTGTGGCAGCGGCAGGAGCCCTGCCCAGGCGCGCAGGAGGATGGGGTGGCTGTTCTGCTGCCCAAGGTGGGGCAGAGCCCCTGGAGGCATCCCAACCTGCCATGGAGGGCGAAGGAAGGCAGCTCTGCTCTTGCTCAGCTCCACAGCCACAGCGCGTTTGGCTGGGAATTGGGTGGCTGCAGCACATGGCCGGGCTCCGGCACAGCTGTGCTCACATGTCACCCTGGGCTGCCAGCCCAAAAGCCCCTCGCTCAGCTCACTGCTCTGGGAACGTCCCACCAAGCACTGCCCTCGCCAGCCCCACACCAGCCTTGCACTGGGGAGCTCAAACAGCTCAGGGAGCAGGAACACCTGTGGGTCCCCCCAGGAGCCTCCTGCCCCAGCACGGCACCCGGGGCAGCAGTGCTGCTGGTCCGAGCCGCGGCAGCAGAGAGAAGAGCCGTGGGCGTCCTGAGGCGGTGCAGGGCATGGAGCACAGCATACTTGCTTCATCTCCTCTGGGGCCTTCCCTTCCTTTCTGCATTTTTTCCCCTCCTATCTTCCCTTTTAAAAATTCCTTTCAAGAAATCCAAAAACGGCACAGCTGTTCTGGACAGTGTAAATTGTCCAGAGGCTCCAGACTAGCAGCCCGTCCCTTCCCAGGGCAGATCCCAACCAGCAGCCTGCAAACCCTGCTCGCAGGAATCTGCAGCTTTCTGCTTCTCCCCGAGTCCTGCAAACCACCAACCCAGGTCAGGAAGCCAGACCTGCTTGCCCAGAGTTCCATAGTGAGGTCAATAAGGCACTATTTTTACTGATTTCTGTCAAAATACCTTAATGCTTCGACAATAAAAGAGCTCTTGGGAGGCAGAAACCGCTCCCCCTTCTTGCTCACCTCCACCCACACCAGGACCCAGCTGCACGGGGGGCTGTGCCAGGGGGCTCCTTGGTGACCATCTGCACACCCACCCCAGCAGACACCAGGGTGGATGGCATTTAATTTTGCATCTTTGCTGGCAAGTTCAGCCAGTCAACTCCAAAGCCATCATCCGATGGGCATTAAATGGCCTGGCCATGGATACCTCATGCGCAGCGCCGAGGACCAAGGCTGAAGACAGCAACTGCTCCATGCCAGAAGTGAGGAGCCCTGTGGGGAAGGGAGAAGCAGGGCATGGACATGCTCTCCCTGCAGGTTGTTTCTCTCCTCTTTGGATGCTGCTTCCTGAACGCTCTTTGTTAACTCTGTCCTGGCATCTCCCAGCAACTCCAGAGCTGGAGGCTTTGACTGCACCAAGCTCAGGCGAGCAGGACCTGCAACTGCAACAGGGACCCTGCTCTCACCAGAATCCCTGGGAAACCCCTGGAGGGACCCTGGGAGATGTGGCTGTGGGTCCTTCCAGGGGCATAGAGGAGCCAAGCATCCCTGGGGAGCTGGAGCAGGCGCAGAGAGGCACTCACCAGGAGCAAGGCCAAGCCTGACGCCAGACACAGCTGCCGACACCATCTGGTCCCACGGATGCAGCTCAGTGGGTGTTTGTCTTTTCATGGACATGTATAATGTCTTTTGAATTTTAAAGCAATAGGTAAGCAGGGTGTAATTTTAGAACTAATTAAAAGAATGCACTGAATAAGAGTTAGGCTTTCCCTTAGGGCAAAGGGCTTATTTTAATCATATATATAAAAAAAAACCCAACAACCAAAAAACAAACCACATTAAGAGGAGCACTTGAAAAAGTAAACATGTAAGAAATGTATATTCATACAAAGATCCCACGTGTCTTTCACAACAATCACACAGAATACCATCCTTCCTCATCAATGCCAAGACAACTTCCTACTTCTCTACCTTCTTCACGGAGGTGATTTTAATAGATTAAAGATAAGCTTGGCATAGTAAAATATCCAAAAACAAATAAACAACAGCCTTTAAAAAAAACCAACCCTGTTTAATAGCAAGGCCTTCACTGAAGTAGAACAAAGAACTCAAGACTGGATGTCTTTTCAAAAGCTCATCCAAGGAGTTTATAGGCATGATTCACAAGATACTAGGAGAAATTCTCCGGTCGGTCTCATGAAAAGCCTGGGAGCAGATAATCAGTTCCCCTTGACCTTCAGATTTATGAGTCTGCAAAAAGTTAGCTTTTAGCTTACAGATGTAGCATCTGTCTCCCCAGCTAGAGTTGCTGCAGCCAGCACCATAACGAGCTTCTATCTCTGCACAAGGACACGTTTCCATGTGGACTGGTGTAAATGTGGAACAGGGGCCATAAAAGCATCCACAGGCCAAACTCAGCATTAACCCTGAAGTTGCTTATTGCTGTAAGTTACTCATCTGAGGTCTCTGAGCAGATACAGGAGCACTCCAGATCTAAATCAGGAAGAAATTAGAAACTGCTTTTTTTACAGCAGGATTTACACAGAAATCCAGGGATGGGAGGAATCTATTCCCACAGTCAAAAAAAAAAAAAGTGATTTGTTTTGCTGGTTTGTTTTCTTCCTGAAGGCAAAGAGAAGCAGAGGGGATGAGGGCCCCTTTCACCTCTGTGCATCGGTCCATACAGACCCTGGGTGATGGGACAGGCACCATGGGGCAGGGAATGGGGTTGGTGGTGGCACGGCAGGGAAGCAGGAGGGATAATAATCCCTTTCATGGGTGCTCCAACTGATAAAAGTTCAGTTATTTGTCCCCATTTTAATGGCCCACAGAGAGAAGTGCTTGCTCTGCCGGGGATGAGCTGCCCCCATGAGCCCCGGGGTGCTCCCCTCCCTGCTTCTCCCCCGTTGGAAGACAAGCTGTTCTGCCCCAGCCCCACACAGTCCCTGCCCACGGGAGGTTTCTGCTGTGACCTCCTGCAGGGACCTGCCAAGAGCCTTCCCGGCAGCGTCACCCACACCAGCCGCTGCGCGGGGAAACTTGATCTTTTTGCCATTTTAACTGTATGTGAATCAGTGGTGCTGCCCACATTCATTTCTAAATATAAGGGCAACCTGAAGTTGCACGCAGAGTTTGGCTCCTGGGCTCCCCAGGGTTAGACCCGAACACGAGCGCTGAGCGGGGCGGCTCCGCGGGACCCACAACACAGGGCACCCAACAACCAACACGTTTCTGTCTCACACCAACTTCCCAGGCAGCCCCAACACTGAGTCATGAGTTTGCAAAGTGTCTCGGGGTGTGTGGGGGGTCCCCAGAGGATCCTGTTCCCAGCACCCCCAGGTGCCCGAGCAGCAGCCCCCGGCACAGACTCGCCTGACGGGGCTCCCAGCACCAGCAGCTGATGACATGCCAGGACAAAGCAAAACCACCACAGATCTATCAGCACCTTACGAGACACGAGGTCGACAGCTGAGTGGCTTCAGCCGCTGAGGAGATAATGGATGCTGGATGGTGGCCAAAACATTGAATCCCTCCCAGCTCCAGAGAGCTGTTAAACCAAGCAAGTTTTGCCATCTGTCACAGCCCTGCCACCTCAACCCGGAACTGCCCCAGCCCCAGACTGTCCTTGTGAGAAGAAACCAGGGTCCATCACTCTCCTAGCTTGTGAGACACCAGCATGAAAAGCCCAAGCAGAGGACCCTGCACATCAGACCTGCTGCACCATGGGGCACCCAACTGCCTTTAACCAACACCCTAAGGCAACAGTCCCAAACACGGCCATGAGACAGCAGCTCTGGCTTATCTGCTGCACTTGGGTGGCTAGCAGGACATATTCACATGCCCCAGAACCTCTGCCAAACTTCTACTAATAAAAGAGAGTCAGCCACCAGCTCTCGTGACTGCAGCAAACTTTCCAAATGCCAGAGCAAAACTGGTGCAGAGAGGTCCCCTTGTGTCAGCCTCCGATTTAGAGCCTTGACCTTCTGCTTCCTAATTATCCCCAGATTATCAATTTTGCAGAGGTTAATGCTGACAGCTGTAACAGCCACCGTGGGCTTCGCTCAGTGAACTTCTTAACAGTGGGAAAAAAAGGGGGAACTGGAAGAGGAGAAGGAAAGATCCTGGAAGAGAAACACAACAGATTGACACTTCTTGCCAGGAGAAATACACAGAGAAAGGAGTGCTGGTGTTTTGTGAAGGTGAGGAAAAGGAAGCCACGTTGCAAAGGAAGGATAATAAACAAATGGGAAAAAGAAGACCACAAATCCCACTCACCTCCCCCAAGGACTAGCACACGCATTCTTAAGGGCACTAACAAATTATTAAGCATTTGTTTCCTCATCATTACACTTATTTCCTATGTGGCTTTGCCAAGTTTGAGAAGCTCTAGCTGGGACTGGCAGAGGTCAACTGCTGCTGCTCCAACCTATGCGTTTTCTCAGAATGGTTCCTCAAACATCTGTCTCCTGCATGCCTGGCCAGATTGCCACAGGGCTGCATCCAGGGGATGGAAATGCCTCCTGCTAGGTCAGGGGATGAAATGGTCCATTGGGTCACACACAGCCACAGCCAACCTCAACACCAGCCTGGACCAAGACAAGGGCACAGGGAGCAAGGCTGGTTCTGCTGGAGGGGCCAAGGCCTGGGAAAGCAGCAAAAGGACCAAAGAGGGGGAAGGGGCAGCTGTAGTGATCCCAAACCTGCATCAGGAACAACTTCCAGCTCACTGACAATCGTAAGACCTGTTTGCTCCTACACATTTCAGTGCTCAAAGCAGGGAATGTGGGTGCAGAGCACAAAGCACTTGCAGCAAGCACCACAACCTCTCTCTTACCGTCATATCACCTCAGAGGTGGGGAGAGGTTTCTAAGGGCTGCTGGGCAGCTGCAGGGTGGCTGCACAGGATGATGAGTGCCCAAAGAAGCCCCACAAGGTCAACACTAAGCTCTGCCATGGTGTGACCTGACACCTCCTCTCCTCCCAAGCAGCACAGGACCTGATGCCTCAAGCACAAGACAAACATATGCTTGAAAGGTCTGGGCAAGACCGTGTTAAAACAGGCACAAGGAAGTCCAAGGGGAAATGAGAAGAGCCACAGACAGCATGCAACTCACAAGAGAAAATAATTAAAAAGTATTCTGAGAACAACGTGGCAGATAGGAGATTAAAAAAAACAAAGCTTTGAGCTATTTCTTTGAAGATTTTAGTTTGCATTTGGGAAGGCTGCCAAAATTCACAGCACACGTGAGCAGGACACCAGTAATTGCACCAGAGACCTTTTAAAGCAATGTCCTACATGAGTCCTACCTTAGCAACCTGCCTGGACCTCCTGGCCTCTAACAGCATGTGGCCCTAAGAGCACATTCACCATGATTAGGTACCCTGAGAAGAGCCTCTGTTCTCAGCTGGCAAGACTTCAAAGCAGTGCAATCTACTTGTCTTTAACAAAACATGAAATACTTACCCATTAATATACTCAACAGCTTTTGAACTCTAGAGTTGACTCCAACGATTCTGTAGAGCCCTTGCTCATTGATCCCTAGGTAAAACAAAGAGCTTATTAGGATAATGTCAAAAGAGCCACTGACATTTCTTTCATTTCTCTGGCTTCTCTAATAGCAAAAATAATTAAACCCTCTCACCAACTACATACAAAATTATAGAAGAGGGTAAAATTTGAATGTGATGTCAGGGCTTTCATGTATTGATTAAAAGTATTACCCCACAATTAGCTCAGTAATAGAAGATCCAAGGACATCTTTCCACCACACCACTACCAGCAAGGCACTATAGCTGCCCCATGAAGGATCACAGAATCATAGAATGGTTAAGGCTGGAAGGGACCTTAAAGATCATCAGGTTCCCACCCCCCGGCTATGAGCAGCAATGTCCTACATGAGTCCTACCTTAGCAACCTGCCTGGACCTCCTGGCCTCTAACAGCATGTGGCCCTAAGAGCACATTCACCATGATTAGGTGCCCTGAGAAGAGCCTCTGTTCTCAGCTGGCAAGACTTCAAAGCAGTGCAATCTACTTGTCTTTAACAAAACATGAAATACTTACCCATTAATATACTCAACAGCTTTTGAACTCTAGAGTTGACTCCAACGATTCTGTAGAGCCCTTGCTCATTGATCCCTAGGTAAAACAAAGAGCTTATTAGGATAATGTCAAAAGAGCCACTGACATTTCTTTCATTTCTCTGGCTTCTCTAATAGCAAAAATAATTAAACCCTCTCACCAACTACATACAAAATTATAGAAGAGGGTAAAATTTGAATGTGATGTCAGGGCTTTCATGTATTGATTAAAAGTATTACCCCACAATTAGCTCAGTAATAGAAGATCCAAGGACATCTTTCCACCACACCACTACCAGCAAGGCACTATAGCTGCCCCATGAAGGATCACAGAATCATAGAATGGTTAAGGCTGGAAGGGACCTTAAAGATCATCAGGTTCCCACCCCCCGGCTATGAGCAGGGACACCCCACACTAGGCCAGGCTGCACAAATCATCCCCACTTTACATACAACACAAGGGCAGCTTTAGAAACTTTTACTACCACAAGTTCTTTAGGTTGAGGTCTGAGCCTTTTGCATGCTCTCCACATTCCCCTCCCTGTGGGATGCTGCAGAAGCCCAGTAGCTCCCAGGTATTGCTTTGCTATCAACAGCAGTTCCTGCATTGCTCCCAATCTTACAGGGGAAAACATCACATTTGAATATCCCACAGCACATCCTGTTGCCAGGAAGAAGACCCCAGTGCCAGATGGGCAGAAATCCTGCAGCTCTGAGCCCTGCTCTCCCCAAAGTTTCCTGTGAGGCCTCTTTCTTACACCAGTGCTCTCAGGAACTATGTCAGAACAAGACCCACATTTCACAGGAGCAGGTCCAGCTGCTGACAAGTGAGCCTATCTGTGTATTAAGTCTTCACAAGAGGTTTAGGGGAAGGATTGAAACACTTCCATTTGTTACCCCACACCAGAGAAGTGCTTTGCAGTGGTGCCACGGAGGGATGCTCAGATGAGGTCCCCAGCCTCAGGCCCTTCCCCTGTCTTATCCATTCAGTGCATTATTTGTTAACTGCCCTGGAGGTTTGCTTGGCCCCTGCTCACCCCAGCCACGGGGCAGACACACGTCTCAGCCAAGGCCTCTGCCTGAGCCTATCAGGGGTTTATCTGATGTGTGTCTCTGAGGGTTAATGAATCATCTTTGTCCATGAAAAGAGCAGGTAAGCAATTGCTCTGCTACAAACAGCTGCAAGGCCAGCCCCCAAAACAAGACCATCTGGTGAACAGCTCTACCTCTTGTTTCGACAGCATGTATGCACTTCTTGATAATGCTGAAGCCAATGTTATCCAACTGGGCAGCTGAAAGGGAAGGGAAGAGAGAAGCGATTAAGGGCGAGCAGAGGGATGGAGGTCCCGCTGAGCACCGCGCCCTGCCCGCAGCTGCCACGGACACTCCCAGCAGTATGTACCACTGCCTGGACAAGGGAGGGAGGAGGAGATAAATTAGGTGTTCATGGAGGAAAGGCACAAGTACAGTAGCTCATACCAGGTGTAACCCAGGCGAGCACAGAGCACTAATCCATCATGTCAGCCCTCTGAACCAGCACCTCCCACGCCTGCCGAGCAGCAGAGCCCCAGGCTCTGCCTGAGATTTACATCTGCAGTTGGTCAAAATACTAATTTAGGATCAAGGTGAGATAACCTGAAGAGACCTTTGTCTGGCAAGTTGACACAAGGTTGCTTGGAAAAAACGGAAACCGTATTTATTTTTGACACAATGAAACCTTGAGAATGGCACACAAGGCAGTTTGTTTGGGAATCCCAGGTAATTCCTACAAATCCTTTCAGCTCTCCACTCAGATAACCAAGCCATCTATGTGCTGGAGAGATGCCTTCATCTCCAGGCCACCTCCACCACCCCACGCTGGGGACCACCTGCATAACTGGGGTATGGAGCTGACCCCAGGCTTTGGGCAGCAGGGTGGGGGCCTTCAGTCCCTTGGATTTCTTCTTGGGGGTTTTGAGGTGGCTTTGTTGCAGATGCAGGTTTTTTTTAATGGACAGGTCATATGACAGGTTAGAGCATTGAGAAGTTACAGTGAAAGGCAAACTGGGAAAGAAACAAATGGAAGGGAGAAGCAGGAGGTAACTGTGAACAGCAGCTGTGAATGGAAATGGAGTAAAGAAGTCACAGGAAAGGTGAAAGTGTGGAAATAAAGAGGTAAGACAAAGAGGAGAGAGTTGATGACATGTCGCAGTAAAACAACAATAGGGACTGGGAGATGGGAAGGAATTTTTGGTCCATTCTCTGTCCAAAGCATCTCCTGTGCCCAGCAGGAGGGGACCTGTCCTCGAGGAGCCAGCCAGTGCCAACCCCAGCCCCCACCAATGCCTGCACCACACACTGCAGGCAGACACTCCTGCACCCCAGCAATGCCAAATCCCAGCTAAACAATATTGTCTCAGGAACACTGTACATCCCATTTACCCTGCCTCTGTGCAGATGTGCACAGTTCAGGAACAGCCCCATCTTTTTTTAGCACAAATGAAATATTTATTTGGTGCAAATTAGGATGTCCTGAAGGCAGCTGACTGCTGGAGAGTAAGATGTAAAACACTCGTATTAATGGAATGTAAAACTCAATTAACTCATGCCATTGCAGGTTTTCACATTTAATTTCCAAGAATTACTAATAATCAGATCTAAGTACCTGCTGGAAGGACTCATCCCCTAGTCAGCTTTCCACCACTGCATAGAAAACTCTGCCCACAGACAGCTATTTGTGAAGGAAAATTACTTCTTCCCTACATAATGGTTTGGGAAACCCTTCATATGGCAGAAGCCCCACAGAAAAGAGGTGTGCAAAGCCACCCCAAGCTCCAGGGCTGTTCACATCATTTATTTAAGCACAGATTCACTGCTGCTCCATGATAAGCTGCCAGCTCCCTGGCTGCCTGTGGCTTGCCTGGTGCAGTCCCTCACTAATCACTTGTTTTGAGTTCTCTGCTGGTGGTGTTTCTTGTTTGATGAATGGTGCAAGGACCTAAAACAGTGGAAGAGTAAAACAGCTCTATTATATTTTTCTGGGCAAGCACACTGAAGTGCTGAGCCAACATAAGCACACAAGTTGCAAGATGCCTGTGCCATAGGATGTGTGAACATTCAGAAGCTCCAGGGCCCCTTCCTAGGCACCTCGGTGGCAGCCAACTGCTCTCCAAGCACGGATGCAGCACAAAATCTATGCACTATTGATCAGTGGGGCACAGCTGGCCAGATCACTGATAAACACAAGCCCAGGGGTACCTGAGAAGCAGGAAACCACTGTGCAGGAACCCTTTGGTGCAGGCAAACCCATTCCAGCAGCTTTTTAGTCCTGGCTGAGTACTGGCCATAACCCTGACCTTCCAGTACCCCGGCGTGATGTGCAGTCAACACAGATCACCACCTCAGGTTCTCTGCCACGCTAAGTGCCAGCCCATTCCATAAACCAGCAGCTGTCCCTCAGTCCCTCACACATTTGAATGTGAGCAGAAGATACCTCCAAACACACACACCCCCCTGCAGATCCCACCTCTCCACTTCAGAGCAAGAGGCAAGAAATCAAGGGTCCTTAGCAATGGAAGTGACCAAGCACAGTCCTCCCAAGTAGACAAATAAGCTCTTCCACTCTTTACTGAGCTCTGGATCAAAAAAGGTCAGGGATTCATTTTCAGTAGTTATATCCAGAAAAAAAGATCTGATTAAATATCCAAAGTGCCTTTATTCGTCCTTAAGGGGAAAGAGGGGTGGCAGCAAAGGGCAGGCCCTGAGGGCTGTCTTGGAAAACCACAGCCTCCTGCACCCTGCACAACAGGCACCTCTAGTCCCCAGCCTTTGTTTAAAACAGCCTCCCAGTCATAAAAGGGGATGGGTTTACAGACTCTTCACTACCACAGGCACACTTTTTTGCTCTGTTCATGCATCCAAACCTGCTGCAGCCTACAGCCCTGCCTCCTGCTGCTCCCCAGGGGAAGATGTGGAACAGCCCCAGGCCAAGACACACATCACAGCCTCCTCCTACAAGAGCAGCATTTCAGGGCACAACTGGGATGCAGTTACTCAGGCTGTAATCTAGCAGAGAAATGTCTCACACCATCAAAGGTGATGCCCACCACGTGTACTGCTGCAGTTGCACAAACACACACACTCTTTTCTGACCTTCGCGTGGCATCACGTTTCTAGTGCTACTGAGCTGGTCTCATCCTGTTCTATTTTTGCCTAGCAGATTATTTCTATTTAATCCATTAATTCCTTTGCACTGATATGGCATATCAGAGCATCAGTAAAGGGGCAAGGAGACTGAATCAGCTTTGTTCAGCCTCAGGGAACCTTGCTGACCCCAGCTCTGTGTGCACTGGTCATGGCAGTGCAAGGTCAGAGCAAGCTCTTCTGCACACCCCACATGTCCCTCTGCTGTGTAATGAAATGCCACGATTGTTACACACTCCTTCAAAGACTTTATGGAATTAAGAGCCACAGAGTAAGGGACCAGTGGCCAAGAAGCTGTGACCAGAGAGAAATGAGTTTTCAAGCCTTATTTCAAGTCTCAAAACTACCAGCAAGCTGCAAAGATTGGGAAATGAGGACTGCTGGGGAGGGCCAAGCCACACAGGGGAGTGCACCAGCAGACAGAGCAGCCAAGGGACTGGAGGTCTGTGGAAAGCTTATGGCAGTGCAGTCAGCTTTTGATGGGGTCCTGAGCTTGTAGGGA